TACTTAATCTTAATTGTAACCTTGTTCAATTGCCGGTAATCGATGCACATTCTCATCGAACCATCCTTTTTCTTAACAAACAACACCGGCGTACCCCAAGGTGAAACACTGGGTCCTTCTTGCGCGGTCCGCGGTGGGAACTTCAGAGGGGTATAAATACACGTGAATTTCAGTTATTTTACACTTTTCAAAATCCCAAAACATAAGAGGCGATTTTCCAAACAACTTTTCTTCTCCGAAACGATTGGTAAGTGATTTCTAACTTATTTTCTTCACTTCTTAACATCTTTTAACATGATTTCAACTTCAAATCAAAGATTTTCATGAGGAAATTGGGTGATTTGGGTAGAACCTAGGTTTTTTCTAAAATTGGGGATTTGGACCTCAATTTGAGGTCCGATTTCAAAACAAACCATATATTTGAATTTGTTGGGGAATGGGTAATCGGGTTTTGGTCCGAACCTCGGGTTTCGACCACGTGGGCCCGGGGGTGATTTTTGACTTTTGGGTAAAACTTTGGAAAACTCATTTTCATGCATTGGGGTTGACTAATTTAGCATTTATTAATGTAATTAAGCAACTTGTGACTAGATTCGCGCGGATTGGTGGTGGAATCAAGAGGTAAAGCTATAATTGAGGCTTGAGTGGTGTTCAAGGCATCGAGGTAATTGTTTGGTTTAACCCTAGCTTGAGGGATTAGGAGTTGAGTCATATTTGCTACTTGCTTCTTGTTGAGTACGCCGTATAGGCATGGTGACAAGTATCTATACATTGGTGTCAAGTATGACCGTGGGTCTTAACTTGAAAGTTGTTGTGTTTTTGAATGACACCTTGTTTACTTTAATTAATGATCCTCTATGATTAAGTATTTCCATTAATTGAACTGAGTACTAGCAAAGTGAGATTGGTTATAGCTGATTCTCCCTTGCCGGGATGACTATTTCGATATCCTTGTTCCCTTGCTGGGAAGTTATTATATTACTTATATTCCCTTACCGGGATTTCTTGTGATTGTGTGATGAAATGAAAGGGGAGCAAGTGCCTACCACAAGATATAATGAAACGGGAGCGAGTGGTACGCCTACCATGAGATTGATGAAATGGGAGCGGGTGGTACACCTACCACAAGATATAATGAAATGGGAGCGGGTGGTACGCCTACCACAAGATATGATGAAATGGGAGCGAGTGATACGCCTACCACGAGATATGATAAAATGGGAGAGGGTGGTACGCCTACCACGAGATAGAATGAAATGGGATCGGGTGATACGCCTACCACAAGATTGATGAAATGGGAGCGGGTGGTACGCCTACCACAAGATATTATGAAATGGGAGCGGGTGGTATGCCTACCACAAGATATAATGAAATGGGATCGGGTTGCACGCCTGCAACAAGAGGAAATTGAAAGTGAAAGTTGCCTTTATTTTCTTCATTTTTGATAGAAGTTATAGTGCTAGCTTCTTATTATTCCCTGTTATTTCTTTTAATTGATATCCCCGAAGCAAGTTCCCCTTCCCCAGCTTTAACCGCTTATTACTTGTTTACTTTTCCGCCATATATTATATAACTGTACAGGTTTATCTGGAGTCTGGTCCTAGCCTCGTCACTACCTCGCCGGGGTTAGGCTGGACACTTACCAGCACATGGGGCCAGTTGTGCTGACACTACGCTCTGTGCTCTTTTGCACAGATCCAGGTTTTGGACAACAGCAGTAGCGCAGGAGCCAGGCTTCAGTCCGGTGATACATTGAGGTAGCCTTGCAGGCGTTCGCAGGCCCGGCGTCTCCTCTATCTTTTATTTCTGTTTGTTATCTCATATATTCGAGACAAACAGTTTATATTTCCTTTCAAACGGTTGTATTTAGCACTCTTAGAAGTTCGTGAGTAATGTGACACCAGTTCTTGGGTAGAGGCATATGTTGATTCTCGCATTATTGTTCAGTTTTCTTTAAATTTAAGTCTTCCGCATATTTATTTAATTCCGTTGCTTTCATGCTATCGTCGATAATTGTTAAAAGAAGTAATTGTTAACGAAGTAAACAATTAAGGATTAGCTTGCCTAGCTCTCATTAGTAGGTGCCATCACGACTCCAGAGGGTGAAAAATCCGGGCCGTGACAATATAACAACTTAATCAGACACCGATAAGTAATCATGTTAAAATATATAACAAAGTAAATTCATAGACGCAATCTTACTCATGATCTTCAAGTTCCACATTCATATAAGTGCTGGTCTTATCACCTTGGTTATGTGATTCTACTTCACCATAACTTACAACATCTCCAATGACATCTATAATAATTTAGAAAAATAATCACGACAAAGTTGATAAGACATTCAAATAAAAGAATTGCGAATTGAATACTTGCCGAAGAGTTCACTTTCTTCAACATCAATTTTGTTTATCAAATACTCATAAGGTTTTAAATCGAAGATACTCATACCAAAAAGATGATCATTTTATTCCTTTACAATCGTCTTATGAGTAAATGCCAACTTTAATTTATGCTGCATGTATTTAAGTTTCGTATAATTTGGTCCAACCACAAAGTTCTTCATAAAGTACAAACCCAATTCTTTTATCTTTGGTTTGAACATACGTATAAGAGGTCGACCAACAGTTGCATGAATACGATCGCCCTAGAAACAAAAAATTCATAATTAATATTGAGTCAGACAAATACTTAGTTGTACGGTGTTGTCACAGAGTATATTAAACAATGAAGCATCAATGGGTAAAATATAATATGTGACTGCTTGCCTTTCCAAAATAACACATACAACATATTTGATGGTAAATACTAATCTAAATTGCAGTTGATTAAATACATGTTTAACCTAATGAATTTCATAGTACAAAGCAGAAGATGGATATTGTAGTCAAATTTTTATGAAAAAATAAGTGCAACTAAAAAAAATGCACCTTTTCGTCTTGAATAATTAATTCAAGGGAGACGGTGTTATCTGGTTTGTCGCGGTCNTCTATAGATATATACGGAATGCAGTAATTTTTGTATGGAAAAATAATTTTCCATAAAAAGATCCGTAAAATAGAGGAATATGCATTTGGGATTCCCCAATTAGTTGTTATCCCGAAATACCTGGCGTAGATGTCGTCGTCTCCTAAACAACACATCTCTCCAGAATCCAGATGCGAAAAAGATGAGAAAAAACGACCGGAAAAATCATCTTCACATTTGAATGTCTCCTCGCGATGGACTAATTTCACATTTGACGACATTTCACATTTGGACTAATTTCACATTTGAATGTCTCCTCTTCTCCCTCTGTATCCCAATCAAACAAAATTGCGGAACAGATCAAAATGCTTAGGTTTAAGCCTTTTTAAATTCCCAATATTACGCGTTATTCGTATAGAGAAAATCAAGGAGATCAGCTTTAATGAGGAAGCGAAGAAAATGGGATAGCTTATAACTGTTGGTATCCCGAAATTTACTCATACAATGATTTAGTAATAATTTATTATTAAATATTTTATTATTAAATATAGAGATAACACGTAGTTGAGTCCAGATTTTTCGGCCTAATTGCAATCCCAAATATACTCAGTCCAGATTTTTCGGCCTAATTGCAAGGTTTTCTTATTCCTATAGATTTGGGATTATGGCCGTTATCTGCATCAGTCAATTAGGCAGAAAAATGTGGGTGTTAAAACTTGCATTTTAATAAAAGTAAGTCTTAATAAATTAAGTTTTCATGTGTCTTTTTAATATGTTGCCACTTGGCTTATTAATAACTTGACACTTGGCTAATTGAGAATGCAAACTTTCTTGCTTTAATATATATATAGATATAGATTTTGAAAGTATTTGAATTCAAGGAAAGAAACAAGAGTTATGGAAAGATGATATGCGGATAAGAATCAACATAAATTTGATGAACAAGTGTAACAACAAAATTTAGTTCCTGGAAAATAATAATCAAGACAAGAAATATAGTGACAAATATTATATTTGATTTCAAGTGATGCGGTTACAATCTCTAGAGTATCTCAAATCTAAAGAGATGTAGTCCTCTAATTCTTCTCCTCATGAACAATGATTCAACAGCTTGAGAGGTTGATCTTGAACTTGACGGATTTCAGATTTGTGGTGCGTCAAGAATAATTTGAAGGTCGTCACGAACCATGATTTGGTGTTGGGTTATCATGAATGGAAGATTTGAGGTCGCCCGCCTATAATTTGAGTTCGCCTTTGGGATTTGACCACAAGCGAAGATTGCAGATGCGGAGGGAGACCTTGATGCTATTCTTCAGAACTTCTTTAGCCTTTCCTTCTGTTTACTTGATTGATCTTTCAATCTTGTGGTCTCTTCCCCCTCGAATGAGAGGTGTGACCTCTTTATATAGGCATGGAGTGGAGTAGCCTCCAAGAAAACCCTTATGAGTCATTGGCTTAGGGGCTTTATATGGGTCGATCCAGTTGGTAGAAAATCAATTTAAATGAGTTAGTCCAATAATATTGGACTTTTATTTAAATATATTTAATCAGATTTAAATAAATAACCCAATTATACTAGTCCAAAATATTTGGTTGGACTAATATATATTTGATGTATTGTAAAATCTAAATTTCTTATGGATTTAAATTTGATAAAGTTTTAACTGTCTACAAATGTTCCCTACTTTAAGGCTTGTTGGGATAATATGAAGACGAGAAGTACCAGTAACAATAATACCACCTTTTCTTGTTCGCTTTATCCCCTTAAAAATACTCCATTAAGCCACGTGCATTCTTTGAGTTAGGACTAGAGAATGACCAAGGATGAAAATTTCTTCTTTATATTCCCTTAGAAAATAGTTTCTATGACTTTAGCTCAAAATGAAATATGACTTCCTACGGTCAGGTGGGTTTCCTAGCCTTGATTTCCCTTCTTCGATAGGAAATGAATGTTGCAGCCTTCTTTATGAAGTATGGACTTAATTAAAAAATAATAATCAAATTTATATTCAACTAAGCAAAACCATCTCCATATAGGATTCCATCATGCGATGTGTCTCCCATTTAAATTCTGTCTCAAAGTTTTCATGTAAGACATCATTATTATTAGTCCACTAGAAATTGCTTTTTTTCCCTTAAAAAGGAAAGTTCTAGTTCACCAAGGAAGGCAAATTCTTGTTCATCAAGGAAAAGGCATCATCACCTCATGAGTTCTATAAAAAGAGCATGGGGTGGATCTCAAACACATGAAGAATACGAACTTGCAGCTCTCTAACCATTGCAGAAGATACACAAAGCTCTTCGCATTTGTATTCGCTTTTCTCTTGCATCTTTTTCATTTTTTGGTTCTCCTTCACACTGTTTTTTTTTCCAGGAAACCGATGGCATCAGCAAAGAAATTTCAGATTGGCAAACCTTGTGCAACTGTTTTGATACTAAACTTGGCCATAGTTTGAAGTTTCGTGTCGTTGGCACTATTACCTATCACGCCGATCCGAAACTTTGAGTCACTAGTACCTTTACTTATAGTGACGAGTTGAAATCTCATGCCATTGACACTGCTACCCGTTGGCTGCTGCTGAATTAAAGCTCCGTTTCATTGACACCAATCAATTTAATAGAACCAAAAGCTTTGTGTCGTTGGCACCAAGGGCTCCAAAATCTTTTCTCTTTAGCTGTGGAAGCTATTTGGGATATCCATCTTTGCACATCTGTGGACAATACCACCATATCTTGTCGTAGGAGAATTAGAAATACAAGTTGTTTGATCCTTTTGAAACTACACTTCAATGTATCAAAATTTTGGGGCAAAATTCCTTTGTAGCTTCTCAGGTAATATTTTGAGTTTTCCTTTCAGGTGCTAACGCGTTTGACCTTTAAGATTGGCGCGCCTTCACAAAAAAGTTCATAACCTGGTCTACGAGCTTCCAAATTATGGTCTGCTTGAATCTACTAATGCTAGATTCAGAGGAATACAACATATCAAAATTTCACCAACAAATAGCTTCTGTATAGGATGGAATTCATTTTTGAAATTGATCAACGCATCTGCCATGCTGATCTCACTGGTATGTGTGCTCTCGCTTGAAAAAAAAATTATATCTTGAGATAGGAGCGTCCAAATCACAAGCCATCTGCGGCATTGATAATTAGACTCCTAGAGCTACTACATATGTAAAAATTACTATTAGGCTATCCCTAGGTTTCCCCAGATAATTTTCTGAATCTAGGACACTTGTTCAGACATGCTGGCTTCTTCAGCTTTGCCTGCTCTCTAAAATTGCATATCTCGAGATAGGAGCATCCAAATTACGAGCTGTTTGCACCATTGGGAAGAAGACTCGGAGGGCTACAACATACATAAACCTCGAAACTCCAACCTTTTTGACCCAGTCGCAACAAATCTCTGAAGCTGAAATCGAGAAGATTGTTTGGGCAGCATACTTCTATTTCCTTTTTTTGGAAAGCTTCAGCCAGTGACATCTTAGGGGAATCCACCTTCACCTTCATGATGACGGCCCATCCTCCATTTTTGTGGATTTAGCAAAAAACAACTTGGCATATCCACCTTCTAGTTCGAGGCTTTAGTGGACAACAATTTGGCATATCCATCCTTCAGGTTCAAGGCTTTGACGGACAATAATTTGGCATATCCACCTTCAGGTTCGAGGCTTTAGCGGACAACAATTTGGAATATCCATCTTTATGGTTTGAGGCTTTGGTGGACGAGAATTTGGCATATCCACCCTTCGGTTCGAGGATTTGGCGGACAACAATTAGGCGTATCCACCTTTCCAATCAAGCTTTTGGTGAACAATCTCTTGGGCATCCGCCTTCACCTTCATGATGACGGCACATCCTCCAGCTTTGCCTCAGAAAGGAGGTTCATGGTGTCTGCTTCTTACAGTTTGGTGAAGACATACATGACGAGTTCTCCATTCCAAATCAGACGAAGAAGTATATAATCACTACTCTCTTTTTTAGGAAAAGAGGTGCATGGAGCATCCCATCCATCGAGCCTTGGAGGGAACGATCTTTTTTGCAACTTAGCGAAAAAGTTATTCTCCGTCCCAGCTTTAGCAAAGAATGTGGGGCTCATTTTGAAGAAAAATAAAAAGAAGAAAAATGGAAGAGGAGGTGCCTAACTTTGTTGAAAAATTATATGACTAAATCCATCTTCTTTGTAGTAGTTGGATGGAAACTCTTACTATAAATAGAGACATCCATTCTTCATTTTCAATACACCAAAATAAGAGAGAAACACTAGAAGTTAGAGAGAGTAATCCACATATTGTAGTTTGTGAGATAAATAGTGAGTGTGAGTAATATTGTAGTGAGATATTTTCAATAAATAGTGTTATTTCTTTCGAAATTGTAGTAGTCTCTTGACACTACTAAGTTGTACTATTATAGTGGTTATATTGCTCCGCTCGAGTACTGTATTTTACCCCGATTAAGAGTTGGTGTCGCTCACTACTAGAATTCGGGAAAAAAGCGACCAAACATTAGCGACCAAAGTTGGTCTGTAAAGAAAAGCGACCAAAGTTGGTCGCTTAATTGGCAAAAATAATAAAATAATTATTTGATATAGATTCGCTAATTTCGTCAAAATATTGACCAGACTGGTCAGACTTGCTTGGTCAAAGGTATACTGAGATTAGCGACCAACGTTGGTCGCTACATGAGGATCCACTATAAAATTATAATAATTATAATATTATCTAAAAAAATATAAAATATAAATAAATATAATTTAAAATTAGCGACCAAAGTTGGACACCAATTAAGGGGTAACCAGATAGCGACCAACTTTGGTCGCCAAAAATGAGACCCAGTTATAAAATTTTAATAATTATATTTTTATTTAAAAAATTATAAAATCTAAAAAAATATAATTCAAATTTAGCGACCAAAGTTGGTCGCTAATCTGGGACCCATTTCANTATATATATATATATATATTAACAATAAATTAAAACATCTCGACTTATATCAATTAATATATGTGTATATATATATATATGTAGCTTATATACTATATATATATATATAAGCTATATTCGATAAAATATTAGCTAATGTATTAATACTTAGTGCATTATATATATATATAGCTTAAACTGAATTAAAATCCTAAATTTATACTACATATGTACATAATTTTAAATATAATTAAAAGTAATTTAATTTTTTTAGAAGCAGCGACCAACTTTGGTCGTTATTTTGGTCAAACGGTCAAATAATAGCGACCAACTTTGGTCGCTATTTTGGTGTCACGACCCCAATCCCCGGTCGTGATGGTGCCCAACACGATGCTAGGCAAGCCCGACCAATTCGTCACTCATAATCCCTTATGTAGAATTCATTACCAATTAATAGGATTTAATGCCAAATTAACATGTTTATAACTCTGTAGTAATAGATAAACAGTACGGAAAATCCATAAAATATCAATATAAATCCCACCGATTTGGTGTCATGAGCCAAAAGTCTCTAATACAAGTCTGTGTAGTAACCTATACATAGAGTTGTCTAGAATGCGGAAAATAAAGAGGATAAGGGGAGAAATCGGGTCC